AATATAATTATTTTTTTTGTAAATGTAAGTATTTTTTTGTTATATTTGTTTAATTTTATAGATCTAAATACTTTTTGGTTTAAAAAATATTAGGGACTTAATCGTTTAAAATATGAATGTTTATTGGGGTTTTTTCGGACTTTTTTTTCACTATTTTAGCACTTAAATTAGTTGTACAAGTCATAATAATATATCCAACAAGTTTTTGAAAAGTCTAAAGAGTTATGTAACATGTTTTGGATTGTTCAATGAGTTATTTAACATGTTTTAAATTGTCCAATGATTTATTTATTCCAAAAAATTGTCCAAGAAGTTATTTAACATGTTTTGAAATGTCAAATGATTTATTTATTCCAAAAAATTGTCAAAAGGCTTAATTATTCCAAACATTAAAGTGTATTAAATTTTTTTTAGACTTTCTTAAAAAAAAAACATAAGTTATTTTAAATAAGCAATCTTAACCCCCTAAAATTACACAAGTGTCGTTCTCTTCCACACCCAACAGAACCATCGAGGTACCTTCTGAGTTCTGAGACCATCATTGTTCCCATGCTCCAGTTCTCCGGCGAACACTAGTGACACTTCCTCCAGTCCATGCATGTTTCCGGTGAACAATGTGCAACCGTAGCAGAACCACATCGTCTTCTCCCCTTCCCCACCGTCCTCACCTATTTTCGGTCCCACTCCCATCTCCGGCCTAAATCATGAATTCCGGTTCAAATACTCTCTTCTCCGGCCGAAACCTTAACCGTCCCTCTTTTCACGGCTGCCATGAAATCTATTGATGAATGGAATCCAAGGGCCTAAACCCAAATGATCCAATATTTATAAAGGTGGTCTCAACGATAATTTGAACTCCAATCTCAAACTCACATAGATTCAAATCTCTATTTCTTACCATCTATACTTTTGCACCTCCCTTCCTCTAGATCTATTTTTCTTCGCAAATCCCATATGGAAATTAACGGTTCTATCCAAACAAGGGGTTGGTGGAGGCTGTTGTGAAAGAATAAAGCTTCCCATGCCCACCGCTCTTTTTCTATCACCGGTCACCACCCACCACTCTTCTTCCATCAATATAATGTATCTCCAATCTAGATGGGTTTGAAAACTTGAGGATAAATAATAGTGGTGGAAGGGGTGAGGTGAATGGGCATAGAGAAACATAAAGACAAGCAAAAACACAAAAACAAGTTTAATTTGGTTTCGGCATATGGATTGATTTTGCTTTGAGGTTGTTTTCTGGTGTAGTCGAGGGAGTTGGTTTTGGAAGAGAAAGCGGTTTTACTGGAAATAGGGTTTATATCGGCGACAAAAGCATAGGGAGGTTGTGGATGAAGTGGGGTTGTATCAAGAGTATATATATGTCACGTTATTCGTTAAGTGTTTATCGGTAAAATTTAACTCTATCATTTATTTATCAGATAAGATTTTAGTCCATCAAAACGATATCATATGTAACAATTTACTCAGTAAAAGTTATCGTCCTCACTTACCGGATAAGACTCTTAATTTTTGTCTCATTCTTACTGGGTAAGATTTTTGGTTCTTATCGTATTCATCCAGTAAGGTAACTCACTTGATAAGCACCTATCCATACAAACTTTTGATAAACGGCAAAATAACAATAGATGATTATATTAATTTGTTTTTTTTTTATCTTTTGACAAAAAATATAAGAAAAGGGTAAAAATATAAAACACCCACGTTAACATTCGACAAGCATTTTTTTTAACAAAAAACTATTTATAAAATTTATCCCCATCTATTTAAAATGTGTTATAAAAACCCCTCATTCTCTAATGTAAAAACATTTTTCCCTAGTCACATTACAATCTATCATCCTCTATTTAGATGTTTGATAAAAATCCCTAATTTAATTGTGTTATTTTCATCATCTTGACGAATTTTAAAAAAATATATATTTTATTATAAAATATATTTGGTTTAATTATAAATATTTAATAAATTAGATTAATTAATCAAAATATAATAAGATATAAAATAAAAATATGATAAAGGAAAGGTGTAAAATGAAAACTGTAATAAGTCTCAACTCCAACAAGTTGGAGTTCATCAACCTTTTCATCAAATTATTTTCACTCAGTGCATGAAAACCTTTTTAAAATAATAAAAATAACATATTTAATGTATAAGTTATTAAAGGTTTTTTGTTCAATGATTTTTTTTTTTTTTCATTTTACCTCCTTAAAATTTTATTTTATCCCCTTTTTTAATATAAATTTTATTTTAAACCTTAATATATTTTGATTGATAAATCTAATTCGTTAAATATCTATAATAAAACCAAATATATTTTATAACAAAATACAATATTAAAAACATCTAGTTAAATTGAAATGACACTAACATCGAATACCTACAAAATTATAAAAATCATATAATATATTAGTCGTCTTATATTTTTTAACGAACTGATTTTTGTGTGTCCTTGTCATTATATTTTTATATCAATAAGTTTTATTGTTTATTTATTTTATTAAAATACATACTTCATTTGAAAGAAAATAAAATGTCAAGTAATTTTTAAATATCACTTACTGTAATGTTTTTAAATATTTGAATTTTAATATTAAGTAATTTTTGTTTTCGAAAAATATGACGAAAAGTCCTGAACTTTAAGATGAGAGTGGCTTTTATGAAATATTTTAAATAGATGAAAGTAAATTGTAATGGAATTGATGAAAAAGCGTTTGAAAGGGTTTTTACATTGGAGAATATTTATAAAATAGGTTTTTGTAAAAAATTGACGTGATAAAAGTAAAAAATCTTCTAGTAATTTACGCATTAAGTTAACGGAATTAGCGGCATGGACCCAATCAAAAACAAAATCAGAACCATAATGATTATATATAATTAATTTGTTTGGGAGACTGAATCTAATGTGATACTATATTCCCTAATATATAATACTCATGTGATACTAAATTAAAGACGCCTACGACCTTGATGCGACCTAGATTGCGGACAAATTGCCCTTGCACCACTAGGCCCTCATGTATATTATCAAATGTGATAAATTGTTTTTGATGTGATGATATAATCTATCACATATGATACTAAATCAGATACGTAGACGACCTTTGTCGTGATCTAGGTCGGATGACATGTCCTCCGTACACCACTGGGTCTTCTCATGTGTATTATTACGTGTATTATCACATGGGATAAAAATGTTTTCGTAAAACGAATATATTCTCGTTTAAACCTACACTTACACAATCCAACCCCATCATCTTCCTCTCATATCTTCCTCCCCTTTTCAGTGCCCTTGCACCCATATTTGGGAACTCCACCATTGTCAGCATGAACCCACTTCTCTTTTGCCTGTAAGTTATGCCTTTTTCCTTCTTACAACAAATTTCCTTTGAAAACTCCACCATGGTAGTCGAAGTTTATATAATCCTAATAATATTAGGGCCGTTTATTAAATGCTTACTTGGTAAGTGCTTATCAGATAAATTTTCTTATCGTATGAACATGATAAGAGTCAATAATCTCACCGGGTAAGAGCGATGAGAAAGATGAAGAGTCTTCCTCCGTAAGTGATACTCATACCCAGGTAAGCACTTACCCGGTAAATTGTTGCATTCGATACGTTTTGATGTATTAAAATCATATACATCAAAATAAATGATAGTATTGACTGCTGTAAATAACCACTTAACGAGTAAGCATTTAAGTAAACATCCTTTTATTGTTCCATGATCTCAATGACCCATCATCAAAAATCAACTATATTCAATGTCCTCAATTAGATGAGACTTTTTCATTTTATTGGTATATGTATATAATCAGACTGGTTCATTATATTGGTATAATAAATATACACACCCATTTAATATGATTGTATTTGATGAGCCTTCTATATTATATTCTAGTCATCCATTATGATTTTAAATCAAACATTGTTTGTAAACATAAGTTAGCTTGTTTTTTAAGTTTTCAATTGAATGTACATAAGCTAGTTTATTAAAACGCTAGTTGGAATGACTTTTTATAAGATTTTTTGACATTTCTTTTTTCAAGTATAACATTGATTAATACCAACTGGTATTTATTATCATTAATAATAAAATTGATCATTACTAACATTAATAAATATGAATAAAAAATTATCAGTTAACTTTAATTATATATGAATTATTATTAATCATATCAATTATTTTATACTATTATTTTCTCAATCACTATTCAATGTATTTAGTTATTAGAAAACAAATATATTTAAAAATATTTATTTTAAGTTATACAAAAATTAAAATTTACTTATTTTATTTCATAATCCTAATCATAGTCTCAAATACACACCAATTTTAGTATAAGTTTTGCGCTGATTTTTCTTTCAAAATTCAATCATATATTAAAGAGAAATAATTAATAGTCATTTTCAGATCACCTCTCATCATTTCTTTCTTCTAAAATTTAATTACAGAGAAATTAATTAAAATGACAATTTAACTAAACCGCTGGAGGAAGTCCGGTCTGACTGAACCAAACCCAAATTTGATCGCTGGAGTCCGTCGGCGAAGCAGCATCACACACGATCTCCAAGCCATGGCGGTTGATAGCATGCCTCCCATCGTCTACACACAGCTCAATTACCTTCTCACTCATTCCCCTCACTCCATCAAGGTATGTGATTCCGTACTCAGGGTTACAGGAAGATTTACACACGAACTTGAAAAACCCTAGGTCAGAAATTCAGAATCAGATGTTTATATTTCACATTTTGTTTCCTCTGTTGTCTTCTTCAGGTTGAGCAGATATGGTCTGGTTCGAAGAATCCTGGTTTGCTTGATCGATTTACATTAGCGATACCCTTCTGTCTCGATTATATTAAATGTGAGTTCACTAGATTTTTTGTTTTGGTATTTTCCGTTGACCTGTTTAATTGGTATTAGGGATTCATCTGTCTGTTGATGTTTCAAAATAGTCAAAGAGCATTTTCCTTTTCTGATCAGACGTATTCTCCCCCATTCGAAAGAAAACCGCTCCTGACATTACATATGTGGGTTTTGATCTTTAGATGCAGAGAACAGCATTGGTGGTAAATATGCAACAAATTCCATATTAAATTTGCATTTGGAAAGTACTTTGTTGTTCATTAAACTCCAAAGTGGATCTTCTGTTACGGGACTCATGGTTTTATTCATTAATCCAACAAATCAAGGAAAAGTCTTATTTTACTTGATACATAGTTCTGCCTGATCAGGAAAAATAGAAATGAAAATCAAGAACCTTCTCCATGCCGGTTATGCATAGTAGTTTTGAGGACAGAGAAACTGATAGAGACTTGTAATTGAAGTTGATACCCAACTGTCTTACCTTTTAGTACAGTCTATCTGCTGTGGACAAGAGATACACTTTGCTTTTGAGGTTAATAAGCTACTCTTCAAATTCCAAAATTGAAATAAATAGTACTTCTAGAGAAAAGACTTATAACTGCATTACAATTTAGAACAAGTAGCACAGGAAAATGTTGGTGTTAAATGTGTAATGGGGTTTGAAATCAAATCTCATTTTGAAGGTATTTGGTTCAATCTTAAAAGTCAAAGTGTTCCTCCATTTATCGATGGAAGGAAGCATTTATTAGCTTCATGTATGCATATTTGCATTTTAAAAAATTTATGCTGATAAACTTCTTGTTGTGAGCTAGGTTTATAACCAGATTCCGGTGTTCTAATTATAGGGGATGTTATCTACAATGCACAATTTCCGTTGCTGGCACCGGATATTGTTTTTGGACCTGAAGATGAGAACTTTCGACCATACCCTGCTGGCGGAGAAGGAGACTTGAAACCTAAGAACAGTTTATCTGATTGGAATTGCAAAGACCCAACTAGGCTATTGTCTCTGATTCTTGAACTTAGGTATTTAACCCCTTATAGTAAGCTCAGATGAAATGTTTATATTATGAATGCTGCCCATTTAGTATGTGTAAAGGATTATGTTTACACTGCAGGAGTTTGTACATGGCATACCAGAAAAAACGTGTTGGGGAAGTTGATGATGAAAGACTGAAGTTTGAAATCAACACCATTTATTCTCGGGAGGTAATCTTTCAAAGTATAAAGTACTGGTTTTCTTAGCAAGTAGCAGGAATAAATCTATATAAAGCTGGGTTTGTTGTCATATAATGACATCATGTGCATTTGATGGTTACAACCTATGGCTAGAAGGCTTTATGATCGACTACATGGACTTTTTTGGTTTGAATTTTTAAATGTGATTAAATAAAAAGAGGAATAGGTTTACGAATTGGTTCTCTTTTAGCTAGCTGTTAGATGATTGATCATCTTTTGTAGAAAGTAGTATCACATTTGAGTATTGCTAATATGTATCTAGTCAAGGAAGAAATGTAATAATGGTAGAAGGATGGGATGCAAATACCTTCCTATAGCTTCATGGGGTTGGTTAGCTTTCTAATTCCCACAAAAATTGTACCAAGGATAAAAGTCTCATAGTTTAAGGTATTGGGTAAAGGTTAACTATCCAACTTCTGTGGTCACAACCTTACAGCTTTTCTTTCCATAATGTTTGAAGTCGTTATTGGACACTATAATTTTTATTACTTATTTTTTCTTATTATATATAGCTTGGATGAGTGCACTTGAGTTAAAGTAAAAGCAAGATAATACTTAGGTTCAAGAATGTGTTTGGTTTATATACGAATTACGGGATAATCCATTTTTCCAATTAGTTTGGTTTAAACTTGAATATAATACACCCATGTATAAATGTAACCGCATTTATCTTTAAATTTTAGCATCGACGAATCTTACATATAACATACACTTGCAACATGGAGTCATATCAACGGAAACTTGCTTTGGCACAAGTAAATACCTCCCAAGGCTTGACAAGGTAAGGCAGCCTTTGCTGGTTATTGCGGCTCTGCTAATGAAACTTCTGTTGGTGTTTAGTATTAGTGGGCATAAGGCTTTTGTTGTTATATCTGGGCCACGAGATAATGATCTCATTTAGTGTTCGGAATTAGTCATTGTTATTTAGAGAATATTGAAATACATTGCACATAAGATGGCCCTGTGAGCCAAGACAGCTAAATTGAGAAGTAATAAAAATATAAAATAAGCCCTAACATGATCATCTATTATAACTTCTAAGAGGATTTGTTTGTTGATGGCTTCCTCTATACAGCCAACCTCCTAACAGTACTAAAAACTTGTCTATACTTATCAAGGATTTATGGCATGAAGTGAGCTGCACCTGTTATGATTTGTACTTTGTATCATTTTCCATCTGAAATCGTAGTAGCACATTGTTACCGTAAGAAGGTTCATGCCTGCTATATTTGAATTTTTTGCCATTGTAAAATATTCTAATCATGTGTAATCATCCTCCAGGGAATTGAAATGTATATGAGCTCTGGCGTTGACAAGGTATTTTGTATGAGTTGCATACTTGCACTTGGTTATTTTTTTTTGAATTTTGTAAGCTCCAACAGCAACATGCTTTTTATTTTGTGATGATGTTAGTGGTGTATGTGCCATTGAACTGTAGTGTAGCCAGAAGAGGTAAAATTTGCAGTGCCTTTGCTGGAGATGGATTTAAACAAAATGGTTGCAGGGTCAACCTGGCGTCACCAGCAGAAGATATACTTACAGGTTATCTTGTTTATGTCGCACATTTAGATATTCCATGTATGCAATCTTGCTACAGAACAGAATTGTCAATAACTGTTGGTGCATATGTAGTAGATAGTGAAGATATATTTCTTTTAGAGAACCCATCTTTTGTGTTACAGTTTACCCTAGCCATCCTAATAATCTAGATTGCCAAGTTGATTTTCTTTAGCCTTAATGTGCCTAGTTTGGAGGTTTATTTTACAAACCATGTAATTCTTACAAACTTTACAAACTGATCTCAACCATACATGTAGATAATCAACAGTGTGGATTAAATCGGTTCCTAAATTTACTCTCAACCGCATTGTATAACCGCCTCTAAATTTCAAAATAAACAAAATCAATGATTGAGATTAGGTTTGTAGGGTTTGTAAGAATTACATGGTTTGTACTTGAAACTCCCCCTATATATATTCTTTATGCTGAAAACAAAGGCAAGTCACAATATATCCAAACCTATCCTTTCCGTCTTCTATTCCTATTGCAGCAATGTATTTAAGAATAAGAAGACCAACTGGGCAGTGGTACATGTCCTGTAGGGTTGGTAAGGGGAAGGTGCATTGGGCTATTGGCAAGCATTCACTACTGATTTTATTGGAAGGTTTGGTTTGGTTTGGTTGACACTTAGGATATGCATGTAGAATTCAAGCAGCTCACATGGCTTGGGCCTGTGGCTTGATACCAGGACCATTTCGAGGAATTGAGGAGGCCAGGGGTCTTTTGGCCAAGCCACCTGTACCACCGATGAAGTTCTTTCTTTGTTACTTCATAGGAGGCTTTGCAGCACTGAGAAGATTTGCAAACTTCTGGAGCCAGTTTATCTAACTCAGACCTAGGGATATGTGGAAAAAGACCATTGTAGGAAGCAGATACGTGACTCCTAAGCATGCTGCTTCCAATTCAGCTTTAGGTAGAGGGAAATCAGTAATCAACAACCTCTGTTACAGAGAAACCTCATAAACCAAGCCTCATTATACTATCAGATTGAACTCTTGGTAGAAGAATTACTGCAGCTTAGAGAGATCAAAGGTGGGCACATTTTCCCCCTTTGAATAGAGATACTGATGTACCCTAGCTTAAATCGTAACAGAAATTGAACTCCACAGCCCTAATCGCAAGCGGTAAACATACAGTGGCTGAAATACAGTAGCTAGAACACGTCGATTGTAACATACAACAGTGAAAATCGTCGGCCAATCTATTGAAACATGAAATCGATGCAATTCCCAGACTTTCGAGAGGTCTGGGTACTCTCCCTGAGCTTACGCTCCAAACTAACTCCACCGAAAATACAAAACAGAATACCCACTTCCTCTAACAGCAACCTATTTAAGCAAGACAAGATTACCAATCTACCCCTCCCCTATTCCTGTTTACAGTAAGACTCGACAACACAATTAGACTTAGCTTCTTCTTCTATACGTAAACCTCAAAGGAGGTTTATCAATACTCCCCCCCAAAAATTTCACCTTGTCCTCAAGGTGACACTAGGAAATTGCTGAAGAAATGCCTCAAGATTCTCCCAAGCCCATGTTCCCTACTCCTCTCCGGTGGTAATCCCGGCGGCCTGTTAATAACTGATTCATATTCTCTTAGTAGTGGATCCAAAACAACATTTGTTTCTGTCATTTCCTCCGAAAATACTGAACAAGTACCCAATTCCACCAACACGCCCTGTCCTTCATGGTTGATCACCTTTCCGATAGCTTTTAGCGACACCATCGAACGTCCCAGAGATGGATCACCCTTTAACGTAATGGATTTTCCCCCACAAGTGAATTTCATTACCTGTAACTTCCAATTGATATACGTTGCTCCTAGTGTTTCCAACCATTGCATTCCGAGAATCACATCATTGTTACCCAAACCCAACGGAAGAAAATCTTCCCGGATTTCAATATCGGGTAAAAACAGCGTAATACCCCTGCAAATTCCCTCCCCTTTCTCCGTATTTCCCGACCCTAGTGTAATAGTATATTCGCCAGTAATTTCCACTTTTAAATTTTGCCGTTTAACCAAGTCATATGATATAAAATTGTGTGTTGCACCGCTATCGATTAACACCACAACTTTTTGTTCGCCTATTCTTCCTTCCAATTTCATAGTTTTAGGATTCGTTAAACCGACAACGGAATTTAAATGTACCTCAACCTTATCACTAACTTCAGCTGCATTAAAACTTCTTTCTTCCACTTCTGGTTCCGCATCATCAGTTAATTCCTCTTGAACCAGTAAAACATTCATCTCTTTCCTTTTACACCTATGGCCGGGAGCGTACTTTTCATCACAGCGGTAACATAGACCCAAAACTCTTCGTTGTTGCACCTCTTGATCGGACAGCCGACGGAAACTGGATCCCGTTTTGCTGGTGGAACTTGGCGAGTTAACAGATCCCCCGGTACTATTCGAAGACTGATAAGACGAATTGTTTTTCCACTCGGGGMTTGGATGGAGATATGARTTRGTCTTCTTACKATAAACCGAAGTCCTTTCCCTTGCCAACACTTTTTTTTTCAAATCGATCTTCATGGCTACCTCCATTGCTTCGCTAAGCGTCAACGGATTCATTAATCTCAATTCTACTTTAATCGATTCTTCCAATCCGTTAATGAATTGACTCAAGAAAATCTGCTCCGGTATTCCGTCTAACGGTGCCGCCAACTCGACAAATCTCCTCCTATATTCTTCAACTGATTCTTCTTGTCTCACTAATAGAAATTGTTCGCATAAAGAACCTGCTGTCAAGGAACGAAACTGCCTTAACAGCAGCTGCTTCAAATCCTCCCACCTGGTAATCGGATGTCGTTTATGCTCCCATTGAAACCATTTTAACGCGTCACCTTCCAACGAAATGAACGACACATCAATTCTTTCTTGTTGACTCAACTGGTTCAGCGTAATTAGAACTTTATGAATTCTTAATGAAAATTGGTTCTTTTTTGCTTTTGTTATCAATGATGTATAGTACTGAATGGCATTCTTCCTGAATGTTCTACAATTTATTTTTACGTGGATAGATTGAAGTTTAACATTGAGCATGTAACATATCTCAAGAAAAATTGTCAGTCTTCTTGACCTTTGCTGTGGTTGGATCAATACAGGTTATATATCCTGTCAGTAGAAAATATTTGGCAATGGCTTCAGCTCCACGTTTAAAATTGGTATCATCACCTGAGTTGAAGGCTTTCTTCTCCATTGATGAGTTCAGGCTTCCTTCTTGGTTGGAAGGGATGTAAGTGCTATCTATTCTTCTGTTCCATTCTTATTCAGGGACTTTATTGGGACATCCGCAATATTATTTTTAATTTCTCTTCTGAAGGTGCATGGCTGAATATCTTCCCACTTTAGAGGAGATGCTTGAATCACAGGTTAGTCTAATCCTTCCATATTCGCTGGTAGTTGGACTGACTGTATTTTATGTCTATTAGTTTTCTTATGCTTAGCCTGCCATTTGCTGGTTGATATTTTATTCTTTATTTCTTTTTACCATTTCTCTTTCCCCCTCTACAGATAAGAGATTCTATTTCATCTATTGAAGTTAGAAGGAAGTTTATTACAGCATTGGCTATTCCTTTTGGAAGGCCAGTAGAATCTGATCCAGTATGTGAAAATTTATTTTTAGGTTTGGATGAGTCTGTTATTTGAATGAAACTTTATATTTTATGTTTGGCTTGCCAGGTATTTTGCAGGAAGGCAACATTTCTAGCTTGCTCTGGCGTGTTTACATTTCTGGTACGTTTGATATCAGTTACTTCATGTGTGTGACACTAGTATTAACTGTCAAATTTAATTACAGCTGCCTTAACAATGTGTAAAATCATGTAAAATAAAACAATTCACTAGGTTCAGTTTTTTTAGAAGTTCCTTCATTAATAATGAAAGGGTGTTTACAAAATGAAATTGATTTATGATAAAGAAGAAAAGCACTTTTAGGACCCAGCACCACACCCTCATGGAGGATTATCCTATGCTCTGTATGCTTGAGAAATGTGAACTTCTAAGCCCAATTTTTTGTTTTTGCACAATAATTGGATCCACATTGAATTTAACTAAAATTAGAGCGTCTGCAGTTGCATCTCCTTTTGTACTATAGCTTATAGTTTTCTGTACCACAAAAGCATAGTGGTTGGTGATACTCTTCATGGTGTCATATTCATGCATTCCTAGCAGAGGGTACATATAAATGAGGTTTCAGAACTAAACCCCTAGCCACATCATATCTGGCCTATATCTATGTCCCAATGTGATCATAGAAGAGAATTGACTACGCACTTGGCTATTGAAGTTGGGTACTTTGTGAGCTGAGTTTCCGAATGGACATTATGTGGCCATCAGCATCAGAAGTCATGGCAGGATCTGTGGTTATTAGTATTCTTTTGAGGGGCTTCTTGGGAGTGGTTGGTACTCATAGCAACAAATCAGTAGCTGTGACCTCATGTTGAGAGCACATTTCTGCAAGTGCTTTTGTGTAGGAAATCCCTTCATTTTAGAAGTGGTAGGATAGTGTACCTATTAAGAAACAAATAAAAGCAGAAGGCTTCTTGTTTCTCCATGATGATTTGCACTTTAGATTTACTTTAACATCAAGTTGACAAAGATGTTAAAATGCTTAGGCTCCAGAATGAGGTCTATTTGCATTTATTCCGTTATGATCATACAGTTTGCATCTGCTGTGCCCAATGTGAGTTACTGGATGATGTGTGATTTGTTATGTGAACTGATGATTGATGTACTAATTATGTTAAAGAATAGTGGTTAGAAAAATGAAAGGCTTCAGAGTTGGAAGCCACAACCCAAGATAGTCTCCAAAGAGAAATATTTAATATTACCTTAATTTAATCAAGTACCTTCTGATTAGGATGATTTAAGCTACATCTCTTTATAACACCAGCCAAGGCACTGCATTACTCGTCTGTTAGAAATGAGGAGAAATTGGAGGCTGGGGATTGCTGTTGCCAGCAATCCTGATTATGGCGTAATGTGAAATTGAGAAGTGGCAAAGTGAAACTTCGTCATTTTTTCTATTGTCTACTGGTTCAGGGACTGCATGGCCCTCAGTCCCCCCTGATTACAGATAAAAAGTTTGTTTTGGCAAAACCAGACTGCACTCTGGTTTGGTTTTTGATTGATAGTACCCCATATGATGGGTTTTATAAGTATTTGAATTCATGATACCTTCTTTTTCATTTATGACCCTACTTTTTTGTAATTCAAAACAAACCTTGGGGAATCATAAGTCAATGATGGTGGTGATAATGGGGAAGTTCGTGATGCAAATGGAAGGGGCTGGCTAGAGAGGGGCAGCTTTAGGGGGGATTAAAAACAGATAGAAAAAGAAAGACAATAACTAAATGATGAAGCTGAAAGTAAAGGGGTTGTTGCCTGAACGTAGTATTTCTATGCAATGTATAAAAAAAATGCTTTATACGAGCAGTTTTTCCTACAGTTCTGTTCTAGACAAGACTCTGGTCACAACCACATCAAAAGTCGAAAAAACATCTATTTAATGGTGCACCAATCAAGCAGGGTCACCTGAGCTGAATATAGTGAGTAGAATAATCTCATTGATCTCCAATATATGTTAGTCTAATAAGCGGATATTCATTTGGTCTAGGCCATATAAATTCTCTCAGAATTGAATTGTCAAGCCTTGTACATAATATTGGTATTGTAAGAGACTAAGAATAGATAAATGTGGGGATGAAATGCTCGAAGCCAATAGCTAATAGCCTAATACTAATTATGGCTATTTAAGATAACAGAAAAATGTAACATGGAAAAAATAAAATGTTTCGAGGGAGGGTCTTCCTCTTCTCCCTCGATACTTTGCTGACATGTAAATAACTATAAGCACCTGCTCCCCCCCCCTGCAGCGCGGGGCAAAAAGAAAGAAACCCCAGAAGCTCTTGCATGTTCCTACACTCATACCCATTTATTTGAATACTCTCAAAGGTGGGTTGTTTCCCATCGCGCGCAATCTTATCAGATCATGGCCTTCAATTTCAACAGAGGAGAACATTGCTGTGTGTAATACCATTTGCTTCAATATGCTTAGGTTTTATGTTGAAGATTCCTTTAAGCATGTCTAAACTATCTTGTTTCTAAATTGCCTTCTGAGTACAAGCATTATTGTAATCCAACGTTCATTTCCAATTTAGTTGCCACAGGGTTCAGGCAAGGTCACGTTGTAGTAGAGCCATCCATGAACTTGCAATCTTGAAGCCTCATTTATAGTAAATGTATTTCCACTGCATGCAAGCTTTTCTTGATTGTGAACTCTCTTTTTCTTTTTCCTTCCAATTTTTGTTTGGTTAATTGCATACGTCGCATACTATGTTGTTCACGATAAGAAGTTCCACAAACTAACAGAAATAACAAAAATAAATAAATTCTATTTGGCTTTGCCTCTTCAAGTGACTCGATAAGATAGACTGACCAATTTCCAACTTCCCAAGGATTTAACCCATCAAGCTCTTATCTTCTGTTTTACGGTATATAGGTGCACATTTCCCTTCCACTTCAGTTCCCAAGGCAACAGCCGGCTCTGATGCTTCAAAGTTCGCAGGTAGCAGATCCATTCTCTATAAACATACATATCTTTATATCCTTGTAAATATAGCATATGTTTCAACATGTTCAGGCTTTTCCTGCACCAGTAACTTTGAGCTATTTGTTACATGCATAGACTAAGGGCTTGCTTGGTTCAGTAAAGGGAATTGAAACGGAAATAGGAATGTTGGGGAATGGGAATGGTATTCTCGTTGCATTGATAATGATTGGTTGATGCTGGACAATATTACTGTCTGCTACACTTGAAGGTTCCTGGAAAACCAGTCCCCAATATCAATGGGTCAATTTAGGTTGTATTTTATTTCAAATGGGTAAATTTTAAATTTTTTGCTAAAACTGAAGCGGATCAAATGAGTTGAAAGTCGGGCAAAGTGTCAAATGCTTACAACCTCCTAAATCCCAGTATTAAAAAGTTAGACTATTATTTTAACTTTTGTAACTGTATTATTAATAACATTTTGGGAAAAACGACAAAAACATTGTTGGTAGGTCAACCCAATCCGAACTGACCCGCTTTGACAATCATTAATTAGTTTTGACATGTTACCCAACCCAATGCAACCCACCCATCGTTCCACTTCTAAAACAAATGGATGCTCTCACTGCTCTTTAAATCATATCCATTATTTCTTCTTGTTATTCTGAAAATGCTTTTGACTGTTTCCATCTGAACGAGGTTGTTGTTTTGTTGAATTTTGAAGCATTTTCACTCTCACCCTGGTAATGCACCGATCAAGTCGGCTATTTTGCAAGATTATCCATGGAGTCCAAGATGGGATGTGGTAGAAATGGCAGACAGGATCTTGTAAGTTGTTCAAACCCAATTGTGTAGTTCCATAGATTTCGTGACCAATTCTCATGAAGTTTAACTCATTATGACAGCGATTATCTCGTGGAAGAATGTTTGAATTTCAAGAAACACTGCAATGAAGTACTGGTGCAGCAGCGTTAGTGTTATGATTGCTTGTATCATCCGCACAAATTAAGTAGTCTTAAGTTGTCCTGTTCGATTTCAGAATTCCCGTGGTGTAACGCAATTCTGTTTGTGATATTAACAGAATTTGGTAAATACGCTCCTAAAATCCTGGTGCTGATTAGTTTCAGCTGCTCCTAGAATGCTGAAACTCATCAAAGGCTTGGAAGAAAACACATATTCCATATAGTCCGTTTCCGAGGCTTAAATGCTTGAAAATCCGACCTAGGTAACGGATTCTGTACCAAAATTAATGGGTAAATGCTGACTGGGATAAGAGGTGTGACTGGTAAGTTTCACTTCCATGTACGAAAGCGGAAGTAGTTGATAAAAGTTGTTTATTCTTTGTTAAACGTTTGTCGTTCTGGAGCTGGAAGTGAATGTGGCTAACTACTTGGTGATCTTCCGATTCAACCAACTTTTTTGAGTTGGTCGATAAGCTTTGATAACCAACTTTACTTCACGCTAACCCTAAAGTCCCGTTTGGTTTGAAGGAATAGAATGAATTTAGAGGAGTTTGCATTTCAATCTATTCCAGTTCCATGTTTGGTTTTTTGGATTGTCTGAATTTAAAATCATAGGATTTAATTGAAATCCTTCAAACATAGGATTTGAATCCTTAGGGAGTGCTCGGGATTTCACGAGATTTCGTAGGATTTTATGCAATAAGGTTTTAGAATATGTTAAAAACATTTGTTTTGTAATAATCGATTAATAAAAATGTAATTCAATTATTTGTAAGTTTTTATAAATTATTTATATATAATGAAATCCAATTCCATTCCAAATCTTACAAACCAAAGATATGAATGATTTTAAATCCATTCCAATCTAAATCTTTCAAAAACGATCATGTAATCCGAACGACCCTAAATGTTGTCATGATGGGTAAGACATGAGTTTTATATGTTGGTTTTATGTGGAAAACGCCATTCTACAACAATTTTAACTAGTTGGATCCTTGGATTAAATGTCATAGATAAAGACCGATAATTTTATCAGTTGAAAACATAAGAATTAAGAATCTTAACTGGTAAGTGAGGGAAAATATATTTAGAGGCTGTTGGATAGAGCTGTCTGTGGATTAATCTTTTTCTATAGATTGTGAAGGATTTTATTTCTGTGCATGGAAAAAGTTTGTTTTTAATTGTGAGGAATGGGTTTAGGAAAAAAAAAACTTGGCCTTTTATATAACTTCTATAAGCTCACTGAATAAGTCATTTTCCATATTATTGAACAACTACCAAATATTTACATATAATCGACTGGAGAAGTTGCGAGTCACCTTAAGTTTGTTAAGTTGTTAACAAACAAGCTCTTATCCAACTAGCTTTTATCAGATAAGAGAGGTTTATCAACAGTCTGTTTTGATGGTCGTAGATGCTATCGGTAAAAAAAGGATGATTTTTTTTCTTCTGCAAATGCTTATCTAATAAAGGTCTGTTAAAATCGTCTTGATGCAGTTTATAAAAAATATATATAAATTGTGAATTTTATTTTGACGTTTTTCTGATATAGAAAACCGATTAAAAAAACTCGATTGGGTTTAAATTTGATAGTAGTGTAAGATTCTCTATATGAACCATCTAACATGAATCAATAAGTAAATGAACGAAATCTAACCTGGTACAGTAGGGCTTGATGCTGTTTCGTGTACTTGTTGCTCCATCGTCTTCTTCCAGTTTCACACCATATTCTGCCCTTTGTGATGGATAAGGATATGCAGAGATTTGTGTACTGGATGAGGCATGAAACAGAGTATGGATGGCATATATGTACGTTTCTTAACAGGTTAACAGTTACCCCCATCAGGTAACTGTTAATAACCACCATACYAAGGGTTGTGTCCCTTCATACTTTATATTTATACCACAATATGTATTCACAAGACTGATCATTCAATAAACTTATAAGTATTATAAATCAACTCTTAATTTACATAATTCAACTRGTCATAAAAATATGAATTTAGCAATATGTTACTTGTTCTCTTCATGTATTACAATCTCCCACTGAACAAGATAACATATTGAACTAGCTTGACCATCTTAAGTGTGCACCTGATTATGTTTGTTGATTTATATTTTCTTATCAACAGATTCTTACTTATCAGAATATGTGAGTTTAATACTCAATGATATTGAGCAGACTCGCATAGTCATGATGACTAAGAATCAA